CATAAGGTTAGATTCGATACTGGAGTACTGGACACTTTTATCATGTAAAAATGAGTGACATGACCTTATAGAAATTTTCATAAAACGTTTTCAAAATAGTTTAAAATTTATGTTGGACCCATGCACAGTTCGAGATTTAAAAACCAAAGGCTCTGATACCAACTAAATGTAATCCCTTAGACCCAGCCTATGCATTTCCATTAAGTCTAACTAATTAGCTTGAAAATTCTAAAACCATTTTCCATGATGTTCTTCGATAATTTAAAATCATATTACAAATAACATTTATAATAGTATAAAAATTGATGATAAAGACCCAACTCATGAATATAAAACTAAAAGGTAACTAAGTAAATTAAAACATGTCGTAACATCTGAAGTACAATAAATCGAATATCAGTAGCAAAAGCTGTAGTCGTCTTAAAATCAAATACTTCGAATAATGGCCCATGTCACCAAAATATGGTCAACTTGAAAGATAAAAACATTACATTCAGATGGATTACAACAAATGTACCGATCCTCTAAGTGCTTGATTTGGGGTGTTTAACCAAAAGTATCTAAAAGGGGGAAAACATTTTGAAAAGAGAGCTAGGCTCAATGTGTCCCAAAAGTACAATAAAATCATGGTAGGTACAATAAACAAGTAATAGTTCAGTAAAACCTCATAAATCATAATGTAGGTTAACTTTTAAACTCGTAGTTTAAACCATATTCCCGTACACCATATGTAGTTCCCCAGAACTGCGTCTGTAAGGCTTACCTTATACCAGTGGATACAAGAAGCAAATCTAAGGGAGCATCTTGGGGCCTGAGAGCCTACCCAAGAGTCACATTAGGTCCGTAAGGAATTACCAACTTGATCAGAGTTGTACCTACATACTTCAGTCCTACCCAAAATTTGTATCTCAAAAATACAATTTGTACAGTAAGTAGAATTTCAATAAATCCGCAATCATCTTAATCATATACCAGTGGAAACCAATAATCAGATAACAGTCATAGTCCATAAGCTATCACCCGTAAGTCGGTGTATCAATAAAACAGTAAACCATAGATTTCGGTGTACCACATTTTAAAAAAGATAAAATAACTAGGTAGTACATAGGGAACATACCTCGATAATAGGGTCAAACAATAGATCTATTGAGCACCGACCTCGCCACGCTATGCTACAGTGTTCAAACCAAATTCATAATAACACTAAGTTACCAGCGGGGTAACATAATTAATTTATGAAATCGTAAGGTTTACAGGTCATACGAGTGAATACTAGCACACGTGGTCTAGCGGATCGAGAGGACCTGGGTTGAAATGTCGAGTGATCAGTAGAGTCTCTTGTACCTTCAAATAACAATAACTAATCAGCCTCGAGTCTTTTTCTAATCATTCGAAATTAAAACTCTTAAGTACATATATATGTTCAGGCTTGACTATCAATTTAGAGGGTTTCGGGTTCGAATTTGAAAAAACAGAATTCGGAATCGGACTCAGGACGTCGAAAAACATAAAATATGACTTTTCAAAAATTTGAACTTTTTGGTCAATGGTCAACGATCAATGGATGTTCAACGATCAACGTTGGACTGGGTCACATTCGGTTGGGCAGGCGGGTCGGATCAACGGGTCGACTCGGGTCAGTGGGTCGGGTCCGGGAAGCCCATTTCAAAGTTGTCCACCACTTGGTGAAATTTCTCCACGCGCATAGGCAGCGCGTGGGGGCTCATGTGGCGGCCTAGGCGGTCTGAAAAATTATACAAAAAATTATAAAGTTATTGGATTTTGAGACACTTACCAAGCTCGGTTCACAACTTTTAATGGCGTAGAGTTCGATTTTAAAACATCGGAAACTTTATCTTCCTTACCCCTCACATGCCGGTGATAATGGAGACAAGGAGGATACCGGTAGACTCAGAATGATACAAGGAACACGATGGAGCGGGAGGTGTCAAAAACGGAGCAACGATCGATGATTTTCATGGTGATGGGGTTTAAAAACTTTGAACCTTTTTGTCAAAATTTACGGTGTTAGGCGGCGTTTCACGGAGATATGTGTGAGGGGTTTTGTTCACCGTTCAACGATGAAAAAAACGGGAGTGGTGGAGCGAGCTGAAACGACCGGACGACGATGAATTTGGCCGTGGAAGAAGGGTCGACGGGGAAGGAAATTTGGGGATTTTAATCCCAAGCCTTATGGTTAACATATATATCTGTCCAAAAAATACTCAATAACAGTGCTTAGCCTACTAGTAGGGACGTGGGTAGTCATACTTTGTCCTAGGAGTTCAAAACCCCGTTGCAGCACTCATTCCCCCTTTTCATTTAATAATTTTTCTCAGTCGACAGAAAATGGGTAAATTTGGGTTCAAATCCCTGAATTTTTGTAGCTTTCTAAAACAACCTACAAGTTCTAAAACCTTCAATTTGGCCAATCAATTTCACCAAATTGATTAAATTTTCATTTTTTTCCAGGTTGTGACATGCCAGGGAGAGGTTAGGAAAATAGTTTGAACTACAACGTACTGATTCTTGCCAAAAGTTTTTCAGGTTCCAAGGACACCATATCTATATTACCACCACCATCAAGACGAGGAAGTACATGCATCGAGAAAACAACACAATAGAATTTTCTAACAAGAGGTGATGACCTTTCAATTTAGTTTTCTTTTTACTAGGTTAGCATGTTGCAAGCATTAAGAACAATGCCTCAGGGGATTGTGTCTCTTCATTATTTATTTAGTTCATTTTAATTTTCCATGTTTATTTCCTTGTCAACTGTTTGCTATAATTTCTAATGACCTGTTATGATGTATTATGATGCGATTCTTGCCACGAATCTTAGGTTGTGAATCTTTATATTTAATGATTATTGTGTAGTCAACCTTGAGATTAAATGTGATACCTTGTTATTATACACTATTGTGACTATTCAATTTTAAGAAACTCAATGAACAATAGGTTTAAAAAAAATTAAATAATGAAAAAAATTGGTGGATTTGACAAAATTGAATAATTGCTAAAGGTTCCTATTTGGCTCTAGATTATTGAATAAATTGTTGTAGCAAAACTACAACTCTAGGACACTCCGCTGCTATGCTAATCTAGTTCGCTTGGCATCCACCGAGTGGGAAATATAGTTAATTGAGCATGAGTGAATGAAGGTCTTCACATCATGTTTCTACTCAACGGGTTAGGGGTTCGTTGTTTGCTCCATTTTATCTTTAAGATTAATAAGGTAGTTGTGATAAGTTAAAACCCTATAAATATCTATGGTTTGATAAATAAATTGTCTCGACAATATGATTGATATATGTGTTGTAATAAAATGAAGTTTGTTAGGATCTTATTTATTGAATTGATTACAACTATAAGCGCACACATACACGGGCATTATGATTAATCTTTGGGAAACATTTCTTGTTGCCCAAGAGTCGATGGGTGATTAAATATGATATTGCCACAGTTCTGACGACAAAATTTGGGTTATGAGGCATGACTAATTGATAATTGCCATGTTAAGTTGTTCGTATATGCATTGCTTGAGGATAAGCAATAGTTCGAGTTTGGGATGTGATATGTTGAAGAAAGTAGTGAAATATGCATCCCTTTATAACAATTATTGCTTTTACTTTAGGCCATTTTAGTTGTATATTTCATTTTCTTGCATATATTGGGTGTTTTTCGTTTCATTCATCTTGTCTCATGTTTTTTCTATTTTTGTAGAGAAGTGAAGTTTTGTTTTCTTTATTTGCATGATAGTTGCCAGCGCAAGGAGTGGGTGTTCCAAAAAACAAAATTGCCATCTAACTATCGTGGCAATAGAAGGAGAATCTCGGAGCAGAATTGCCGCTGCAACTGGAGAGAATGAAATTATAATATGTTAGCTGAAAAACCCAGCTATCCGTCATTTATTTGATCTAAAAATCTCTCCAATTTTTTGGATATTTAAAGGAGAAGATAAGCGAAAATTAGATTTATTTTAATTATTCCCTTTTTAAAAGGAGATAAGAAATAATTAATTTTGAGAATGATCTCCTAAAGACATATTTCAATTTTGGAATTATCTCTTTAAAAAATATTTTAGTTAAAGGGAATATCTTCTCTTTAAAAAGGAGGAGGCACACATCATAAGGAGGACTAAGAAGGAGCGAAAAAACCCTAACCCTATATCTCTTTCCCATCGTGAGAGGAAACCACCGCAAGAAGAAGTTTGGGTGATTGCTGAAGATTTGACAGAAGACATTGGAGAAGACACTACAGTAAAATGGGTTTTTAACGACATTTTTAGCGGCGTTTTTTGAACAAACACCGGTAAGTAATCGTACTTTAGTGGCATTTTTATATAAATGCCGCTAAATATTATAGTTTAGGGGCATTTGAGTACAAACCCCTCTAAAGACTCGTACTTTAGTGGTGTTTTAAGCACAAACACCACTAAATACTCGTACTTTATTGGCGTTTTTATATAAACACCACTAAATACTCGTACTTTATTGGTGTTTTTATATAAAAGCCGCTAATTACCGTATTTAGCATCGTTTGTAGAAAAACGCCGCTAAAGGCCCGTACTTTAGCGGTATTTTAAGCACAAACGCCGCTAAAGACTCATACTTTAGTGGCGTTTTAAGCACAAACTCCCCTAAATACTCGCACTTTATTGGCGTCTTTATATAAACGATACTAATTAATGTACTTTAGCGGCGTTTGTAGAAAAGCGTCGCTAAAGGCTCGTACTTTAGTGGCGTTTTAAGCACAAACGACGTTAAATATGTAGTATTTACTATGTTTTTTCCTATACATCGGTTCATATTTAATCCTCCTCCCTCAATGCAATTATCGCATTTGCCAAAAAAAACTCCCCCCAAATCTCACATCTTATCATTTTCAAAACCTACCCATTTCTCTTTAGTCTTTACTCTTACCGATTTTGTCTTTTGCCTCTCTCTCTCTCTCTCAACAATGGCACTGACACTACTTCTCCCCGTGAGAAAAATGACTATATGGTAAAACTCTCCAAGCAAGCAGAACGCTACGAGGAAATGGTCGAGTTCATGGAGAAAGTCTCTGCTTCTGCCGATAACGAGGAGTTCACCGTCGAGGAACAAAACCTCATCTCCAACGCTTATAAGAACATCATTGGTGCTTGCCGTGCTTCCTGGCGCATCATCTCCTCCATCGAGTTGGCTCCTATTGGAGCAGAGAAAGCTGTGGAGGAAGGCTTGGTTTCTGAAGAAGGTTAGTCTAGCTCTATCTACATTGGCATGTTTTGGTTCCTGAATAGAAGTTATTTTACACTAAAACTGTTTCAATTGCAAGATTATTTTCTTATCGAATTGAATTTGTGGAATTTCCCCCAAAGAAGTTGTCAAATTTCTTTCTTCAAGTTTTGAAATCCAAAACCACATATGTTAGAAAAAAGAAAGAAAGGGAGAAATGTAATTTTACCTTATTTTTATATTTAGTTTAACACATAAACATAATTAAAAAGAAAATTGTTTCAACCATTTTAATTTTGATTTATTGTTTTGATTTTCATATGTCAAACTGAAGACTCCATCGCATGCCGCTCTGTTCGCTCCATTTTTGTTTCTTTCTTAAATCTATAATTTGATTACAAATAAGAAATAAGGTAGTCATTTCGTCATCCTTCACCTTTATTCAATTTTCTTTTTATGTTTTATTCTAAATTCAACTTTTCTGATCTGAATTAGCTCCTTTGTTCTTAGTTCCTTTCTAGGTATTTCAGGTTTTCCTTTGTTCACTTTTGGTTTCATCCTTCAGTTTTGATTTACTTCGCAATCTAGTTTTTTGTGTTGCTTTTGAGTAAGTTTGCTTTCAACCTAACCAAGGGTAAAGGCAAAATACCAGAGCAATCAACCTTATGTTTTGGATACATAGCAAGGAAAGTTAGGTGAGTACATTCATTGTATAGATCAATACAATTACAATGTTTAAATTGTAAAGTATGTTTTACAATATTTACTAAGTTTTATTTAAGGTATGGAAAGAGTTTTATTCAAAAGTTTTAGAGTATGAAATGCTCTAAAACTAATGAATAAAAGAATAATGCATATGGGTGCATTAGTGGCATGAAAGGATGCCTTAGCTGATATGTATATGGGTACATTATTGACATAACAGAATAATGCACATGGGTGCATTATTGGTATAAAAGGATGCCAGATTTGAAATGCATATTGGTTCATTTTCAACAGAAAAGTATACTAGAGTTGAAATGCACATGGGTGCATTATCAACAGGAAAATATGCTAGAGTTGAAATGTACATGGGTACATTATCAACAGAAAAATATACTATGGTTGAGATGTATATGGGTACATTATCAACATAAAAGTATATTATAGTTGAAATGCATATGGGTGTATTATCAACAGAAAAGATGTTAGAGTTTAAAAGGCATAATGATGTATTATAAACATAAATGGAGGTTACAAACGACAAGAAAGAATCATGGCAAAAATTTCAATATATTAAGTGTACGAATTTTCATATAAGAAATATATGTGTATAAATATAAGAATTTCATAATAAGAAAAATGGATCTTTATATTGGTAATGGTTATACCAACCACATATATTATAGAATGGTTGGGGAATAACAGTATAAACTCTATATGTACATCTTAATAAATAAACTGAAAATAAGAAGCTGGTAAATTACCATGTTAGCACTAAGGGTTTGAATGTATAAGTTTATAATAAATTAAAATAGAGTTAATTGATAGTAAAAGTAAGTATTAGAATAGAAACTATTCCAAATAAAAGATGTAATGGTTTGACTGTGAAATTGGCAAAAAGGTGTCAATTATGCTAGATAGATGAACGATTAAATACTGTTGTGTAAAAGGATAATGGGCTAACTGTGCAATTGGCAAAAAAGGGTCAATTATGCCAGTTAGAGGAAGGGGTAAAAAAATTGAGTAAGAGAATAAAAGAATTTTATTGTATTGTGGTATTAATGGTGCATAATTGATATGAAGGGATGATATATATATATATAATGTACAACAATGCATAATTAGTATGAATGAATGTTATAAAGGAAAACGCAAACAGAACATAGAAGGCATGAAAGGATGCCATAAATGAAATGTATAATAGTGTATAAAAGCATGAAATAATGCCATAATGGAAATGGTATAATGGTGTATTATAAACATGTTGGGATGCTATCAATGAAAATAAAGGTTTATGACAAAAGAGATAAATGATTGAAGAAAAATATAGAGAAAGATAGGTATGCTAGGCATACTAAAATACTTAAGATAATTGTGAATGAAATATAGTTTAAATCTGGAGAATAGTTGAATCCTTAAGGAATATATGAGTTAGTACAAAATAAATAAAAATAATATACTTATATATATACAAAAAGGTTACTTTATAATATTATGTCTCACTAAGTAAATACTTAATGTGTGTTGTTTCCTTGCGTAGGTAAAAAAATGAAGATAAATTGAGTAAGGAGTGCAACAGTATCACTGGGTATCACGAGTTTGAGTTGACTCTGATCAGTAAGGGTAGGACAATCTTATTCCGTTTAAGAACTTAGTTGGCATGTAATTAAACTATGGTAAACATTTTGTAATGAAATCAAGTGAATATTTTAGTATTTTACTTTCACAAAATATCCTATTTTATGGTTAATCAAATTGAAACAAAAATTTACCGGTTTTCAAATGACAAACAATATTTTTAAAGTGATGTGACATCCCTATCTCGTGTACGGAAGGGTATACGGGATATACGTGTTACAACTTGGGTCTTATTTGCCATGTCAAGGCCCCTGTTTATCCCCCACTAGAAAGTAGTTTGCATCCAACCCTAGCATATGTCATGAGCCCCTCAACTGAAACTGTTATCTATAATCAACCGCAGATGATGATTGATGAATTCCCACTATGGCATTTGCAAGTTCGGGCCAACCTGTAAATTTGACTATTTGATGCAGGCAGCTCCTCCAACAACAGATTCTGAATTGGACCAGCCTCCATCCTTCGACCATTATGCACCATTAGAGCAAACTAGAATTACCGAAAGTAATGGTATTGAAAGTTAATTTTTCAGGAAACCGACATCCTAGAGATCTCAACATAAGTAAGGATTCTAAATTTTCTTTTTCTTTTTGAAACTTAGAAGACTATGCATAACTTTTATTCAATCGTTCCATCGCCACAAGCATTTTTAGGGGATGCCATTATATATTACACACACACATATATATTTGATGGGTTGTATTGAAATCAGGATATGTAAATTTTAAAATGGACCATCTGGGCATTTAATTTGACCTATTGAGCATTTCTCAAATAATGGTTTAGAGCCTGGATGTTTATATCATTCCATTTCTCAAATACCTTGTTTTACTTAGAGTTGAGACAATATTCACTGGTTGAAATGCTTCTAATATTTGGATTAAGATTTGCAATCTGATTATTGATCCTCATTCTTTTAGGTTTTACTGATGAATAGAAATATGTATATGTGAGAAATTGCAGCTACTGTTACTGCTACTGAAATTGAGCAAGAGTTCAATAATTTCGGAAGAATCAAGCTTGATGGTGTGTTTATCCGAAACCTCTAGACAATTTATTTTTATTCTCTTCTTATTATACTTCGTATATAACTTCAAATAAACTAAATTTGTATTAGTTGCATGCAGGATGTTGTTGGTTTTTGTTATGCTTTTGTGGAGTTTGAAGACATTTTTGTTGTTCAAAATGCAATCAAGGTATGAATTTTCATTGTTGTTTGTCCTTTCACCCCGACGAATATGTTGGACTGCAACTAGTAGCTTAGTTACTTTCTATTTCATTTTAGAATTTTAAAAGATCAACATTTTCTCATTTTCCTTTCTAAGCTCCTATCTGAATTATTTTCATTATATGTTTGAATTACTTGTTCAGCTTGTGTTTGTCTGTAACATTGAGTTTTCTGTAAAAGGATCTTTGATTTGTCTTTTAACATTGTACCATTTTGATTTCATTCTAGTTTTTTCCTTCATGGTTGTATATTATATTGGATCAAATTATAGTTTTTATTGTATGTGGAAGGTCGTTATCTGTTTCAAGTGAAGCACTAAAGCGCGCAAGGAGTCTTCTTGGTGAACTGGAGCTAGGGGATTTATTTGGTGAAATGTATGAAGAGCTTCTCTATATACAGTTCACATTGAGGAAAAACTTAACGATGTTTCATCAAACAAGGAAAACTATTTTTTTTACTTCCTTTCCCCACGAAGGAGCAATGAAGACTAAATTCTAGTGAACAATATTTTTTTTAATTTAAAGTGAAAGAACCTAGACTAAATTCTAGAGAACAATGTCAAACTACAGTACATTTAATTTTAATATTTATAAATTTTAATTTCTTTTGTTGTTAATTATTTTTCTACATAACTTGTGTTGTTAATTAGACATAGCTACATGATATTAAATTTAGGTGATGTAGAGCAGAAATGAAATATGCAAAATCAATTAATCTTAGTAAAAGAAAGGTAATTAGTGGCGTTTGTATAAAAAAATACCGCTATAGATCTGACATTTTGCGCCGTTTGTTCCAAAAACGCCGCTATAGATCTGACACTTTTCGACATTTGTTCCAAAAATGCCGCTATAAATCTGATCTCTTGCGATGTTTGTTTCAAAAACGCTGTTATAGATCTGACCTTTGCGACGTTTGTTCCAAAAACATTGCTATATTTCTTGACGTTTTGCGGCGTTTGTTCCAAAAAATGCCGCTATAGATATCAACCTTTTGCGGCGTTTATTCCAAAAATGCCGCTATAGATATAAACCTTTTACGGCATTTGTTCCAAAAACGCCGCTATAAATCTTGACCTATTGCGGCATTTTTTGTTCTCAAACGCCGCTATAGGACTAAAAAATGCCGCTAAAACTCTGTTTTGTTGAAGTGAGACAACATTTATTTCTTTTGTTATTCATATTTTCCCTTGATTTTATTTTTAATTCTCTGGTTTATTTAATCGAAGACACCATGAGCAAAATTATTTGGCGAGGGTTTTTGATTTTTTATGATTTGTTAAACGGCTGATTTTTTCATGGAATTTTATTTATTTCGAATGTTTATTCAGTAATCACTTTTGAATCATGTTGAGTAGTTTATAAATAAATGCTTGACTTTTATTTATTAACTTAAGATTCGAAAGACATAATTTCACGAAATATATTGTTGAATACCAGTGTTCATTATACAAAATTTAATGAAGGGTCTCCTACCTTATGTTTTCGAGCAAAAATCCAATTATAATAAGAAAAATATGCAACAGAAGTTTAAAATTTCATCATGCATAAAATATAAATTAAAGTGAAGAAAATTATGAAATGACCTTAATCGTTGGTTCAACAATCCCTCTATAATGTCTTCATTTTTCTTTTGATCTCCAAAGGTATTGTCTTTCAGAAAGATGGCCACCCTCTTCAAATCCACACACGAACAAATCAAGAACATTTACTAGAATGTTGGTTCCTCTCAATTTTCTCAAAACAATATTTTGGGGTTTAATTTTTTTGTAGCTAAAAAGGATTGAACTTTTACCCTACGCATATATTACACATATATATTATTTCATTATGGTTAAATTAATCTTTCGTTTTTAATAATTAATTAATTAATTAATTATAATTAATTTAAAACTCCTTTTAAATTAAATATCAATTTAATTATTGCTTATCTTAAACTATTTTTAAAATAAATAGCAATTTAAATTGTATCTCTTATATGATAAGGAATTAAAATTTAACTAAATCTTAATTAAAGATTATTTGTTTAATATTATTTCTGAATCAAATAAAAAAATAATAATATATAAAATATCCTATTAAAAGATTACAAATTAAGCTTCTTTAAATTAAATTTGGATAATAAATAATCTTTTAAAATATTACTTAAAATAATCTCATTATTATAAATTATTATTGAAATAAATAATTGTAAATCATTCTTATTTATTCTTAGTGTGCGACCCTATAGGTTCAATTATCGTTGATAATAGATAAAATCACATTTGATCATACAAGTCATAAGTGGTCTCTAGCAAGAAATTATGACTACTCAAGTTAAATAAAAAGATCACGATTCAAGATAACCTTAATGCAGCTCATGCCATAATCATTCTATCTCAAGATATCTTGATAGAATATAAGACATGAAAAATGTCAACCTTATATCGCTTTATATTCATCTTTTCGATGCCCAATTGAACTGACTAAACCAATGTATTGATCTCTATCAATTTATTTAAGAACGATCATGCATTTTTCAGTCTTAATCATCGAGGGGACCAGAAATATCTCTCTTATGATAGGAGGGATAAATGTCATTATAATCATTCACATCTCACTACATGATTCTTGTCATTTTCAAGCAAGACCTTTATAATTTTCTGATTAAAGACAACGTTTGACTATGTCAAACTTAATAATCATCATATCGAGAACCGTAGTAATTTCATGTCTAAGGATTTAATGCCTGTTGCATGTTGTGATGTACTATAATTGATATGCAAACTGTGCAAGTATACATTCGAACTAGTAATAAAGTGATGAGCGAGTATTGTTCCACATATATTGGAGGTCATTTAAGTGAAGATTATGCACACAAAATATAGACAAAAGATATTGTTTAATGAAGAGGTATGAGCGAATAAAGAAATGGTGTAGCAAAAAGTGTAATTAAAACTATAAATTCAAGAAAAGATAAAGAAGTGTCCTCACATGTGTCATTTCTTCACTAAGAATAAAAAGGTTGGGTCTATTGAGGAATCATATGATTTGTTTTTATCAATGAAAAATATTAATAATATGCTTGGTAGAGTTTACTAAAGTGACTCTAAACTATATCTAGCTAGAAATTGGTAATTAAAATTCTAAAACAATACCTCTCAGCGTAAACCCTACTAGATTACTACCCCTTAAGATCTACTCCTTTTAGTCGTTGAAACTCTCTCCTTATCTATAAGGTGAGTTAGAGCTTACCTCTTAGTACAACCCCATTATCCATTTAGATCTTAGACCCAACTCTCTTGATTTTTAGGTATCAAATAAAGGAAAAGACTATCTCTCTAAAGCTCTTACAAACTCACACAATAAGCACAATGAACAAAACATGTATAAATAGAATAATGTCATAACATTCAATCCAACAAAACATATTCATCCATCAATAAACCCAAGACAAAATAATTATTTCATGGATGGGTAAAGTTCAACAAATATCATCCGATCATTATAACATATTTCAAAAAATATTGAATAAAGTAAAAAACACTAAGGAGAAGGAAACTCCCAAAGCTGTTGTTGGACTGCTGTAAACTACACAAGCGTTGCTATTTCTCACAAAGGCCAACAAGCTAGTGCCTTTGAAGCTCCCAATAATGGAGGACACGCGAAATGAAGAAAGATAATGGGGACCACCTCCCATTTTTCTATCTTTCTTAGCTCAGTCGAATCTCCCTTAAATGAGGGTGTCTTGTTTTATTTATAGTGGAGGTTCCTAGAGTCTTGTTCCCTTCATTCTTTTGGTGTCCTAGATAAAAAATTCCCTACATGTGGAGCACAACATTCTTATGCGTGTTGGGGGCTGAAAATATCTTCAGTTTTTGTTTTCTAGTGCACCCATAAATGCTATCTAAAATTATGCATCAAAATTCCTTTTCCAAGTATCGTACTTACTTATCCTACAAATCATCACACCAAACAAACCTTCTCCAGAGTAGCACCGAAAGCACAAATAAATAAACTGAAGCATGCAATCATCACCATATGCAATAAAATGAACTGTATGCAACTATATGTGATTAAATGGGATTGAAAACTAACAAAAACTTATGTAGAAAGAGCATAAAATGTATTATTTTTACAAGGTTAACATACCCCCAAACTTAAGCTATTAGTTGTCCTCAAGTAATGAATAGTATTGAACAAAAGGAATGCTATGGAAGAGCTCAATTCAAAGAAATGTCATGGAAAAATTTTAGTCCTCAGAACATGTATATGCTTCAACATGCTAGAAAAATTGAGACATTTAGAAGTTTTCTCTAAGACTAAGTCCCCTATATGTGTGCACATAATTGCATCCAATCTATGCTTAACAAATTTAGAAATTTTCTAAGTAAGTTCTCTATTATACCTTAGTATTTGTTTAATGATTACTCTCACTCACTTCATTAACAAAATACATTATTTTAAAGGGGCTTCAGCTCGTCACACGTACTCTCACATACTTGAAGATTAATTGGAGTAAACACCCTATCCGCCAACCATTCGAGTAGAGTCATCATGTGAAGACTTTCATTCTCTTGAATGCAATCACTACAATTTATTTAAGAGTGTTTCCAGGAAATGCAACCCAAATAGGAGTATCCCTAACAGTTATGCATTTTGCATTTATTCACAATTCAAGATTTCAATTTGCACACGGGAGTTTTACTTTAAGCCTTTAATACTATCATTGAGTATTCAGTTCATTTCAGTTTCAATATTTATTAAGTAATGCAAGAGTTCTTCGTAAAAAATTTCAAAAGCCTTTAAACATAGAGAACATGCAATCGTGTAAAAATTCAAGCAT